CCTAGAAAGTTTCTTTCGACTATTCGAACAAAAAAGTTTGAACTTGTTACTAAGTGCGGTAAAGGAACTTCACGATTTAGCATAAGTTCTGAAGGCCTCTAGTCAAGTTCCAGCGACGAAGAGCTAAATCCCGTTGCTCGTCATTCAAAGTATCCTCAACTATCAGCGCTGCACACACTTTCACAAAGTCTTATCTGTAATAGGAAACATTGTAATTAAAGAGCGTATCAAATTTCATTCACAAATAGGGCGCCGTATTACCCGGTCGGAACAAAAACATTTTTCTTCCGGCAGTAAATGATTTAAAGTGCTTTGGATGAAACTAATTCTAAAGTTAGAAAAAGGGAACAGGAAGCATAGGTGATCTTTCTGAGCTTGCTATATAGGAAATTTAAAATGCTAAATTGTAAGGAACATATACGAAGAGTTCAACACCAATTGGCCTCCAATTCAGAATGTTGGTCGGTCACCATACTTATGAAATGTGCACCCTGTCCCACATACTCAGCTATCTCCTCCAACCAATTTCATTCCCACACAATATTTTGTGCTAGCAAAGTCTTTAGTGAGTTTAAAAGAGTTGAAAAATTATATCTCAGTCCTTCCTTTGTTTTAAGTAAAATTTGAGAGGTTTTATATTGATTTGATTTATTTTGTCAAAGAAGAGTAAAAACCGTATTTGACGTATGCGGGAGAAGTACAATTCCCAACGTTTTCTTGGGCTTCAGAATCTCATTCTACCTTTTAACCATAAATAGTTGTTGATGAATAAAAATTCCAAAAAAAGCGAGGTTAGCAACATTTAAAAACAATATCTTTTCGCTCCCGATTTACAGAAATTTATTTGCATCGGAAAACGAAATACATAAAAGATTTTTTAGTATTTCTAACAAAATTGTAACTCATGTCCCCGGATCTACTCCTACCACAAGTAGCAAAAAGAGAGCTCAATAACACGCGCACATAGTGAAGGTACATTTATGTCCAGAAGCAAAACAAGGGCCATCACAACAGTTGCTAAACGGATCAGGAAAACGGCAAAAGGGTTCAGATCTCTCAGTTCGTACCTTACTCGTTTAAATTTCTCATAATAACTTACATATTTATCTTTGGTCATTGCGCTTCGACACAAAAAATAATGCACGGGATCATCAAATAGATCTCACCATGATCCTCTTTCTCACAATCTCATTAAATGAATTCACGAATTCTTTTTTCTACCGTTTCTTTAAATTTCAATTGAAGTAGGCAATTTCCAAATTAATGATGAAAATAAGCACAGCTCTTGAAACATTTGCAATGAACCTCCGCGTAGAAAGAAACAGATTCGAAATATTAAAGTATCCTCCGTATTTCTTTAAGCATGTTCCATGGAATAGTCAGGGTCAAAAACTATCAACAGTGTACTTCCGTCTGCCCCTCTGTCAAATTACTTCACACTTTGTGTGTGCGTGTATATATATATATATATATATATATATATATATATATATATATATATATATATATATATATATATACTGCCTTCTTAGATTTAGGGAAGTGGCCTTGAGGGGCGAGATGGGACTGGACGGGACGGGACGGGACGGGAGTCGCGCAAACGTCCACCTGGAAGGCAGGCGGAAGGGCCCAGCGCTTTCAGCCGGCCCGAAATACCTACCGCGACTTTTGCCCGCCAGTCCCTCGCGAGAGCCACTCCTTAACTTGTGGCAGAGGACCTTAACTTCAGCCTTGAAGGGCTCTCGCGGAGGCCCGCCGGCAAAGCGCTGACTCAGTTTGGATGTCCGCCCGCTCAGGCGCTGTAGCACAGATCCACGCTGCACGAAAGAGGAGTCTGGACAAATTATTTGCTGGGATTTACCGCGAAGGAAGTTTCGTTGTGTTTGTGTTTTCATCTTTGGAATAAGAAGGACGGGCCTTTGTGTTCTCGACAATTACACATATGTGACTACGACGTACTATATACGTACGGAAATACTCTATCCACGAGATGTTCTTTCTTTGTATTCAAACTGTTTCTAAGAATATAATTTCTCTTCTATTCTAATCAGCTACGTAATATTCATTTAATTATATATTCGTAAACTAAGGCGTTTACATCAAGTAAGTGGATAATTATATGAAAATGGAAATTCGTTAAAATTTGATTAAGGAAGTAGCGTGAAAAGGTTGTACAGAACTCCCCAAAGTTTCTTCACGAAGCCCACCTAGAACGATTTTACGCACTTATTTTACGATTTTACGGTAATGTGTACCTCCGAATTTTGCAGCTAGTTCCGAGAGGGTCTCTCCTCTCGCTGGGACGAGAAGCCTTCGCCTCGAGCGTGGAGGGCTCGCATGCAAGCACGCAGCAAAGCGGCTGACGGAGGCTGGTCGCGTTCCCTGCGGCGTAGGTTGAGAAAGGTTTCGGACTCCCGCGCCGCCGGCGCCCGCCCCGGCCCTCCGCCCGGCCGCCGCCCGGCCCCGCCCGGCCCGGCCCGGCCCGCCGCCCGGCCCCGCCCGCCCGCGCCCGCGCCGCCGGCCCGAACGGCCCCGCCCGGCCCCGTCCCCGCCCCGGCCCCCGGCCCGGGCCCCGCCCGGGCACCTGCCGCCCGCCGCTGATAAAAGGGTGGGAAGACGCATGGATCGGAGAATGGTGTCGTAGGGGTTCGGAATTAAACTATTAGGTTGGGCAACGTGTCCACGTACTTCTATTTGTGATTTGGACAAAACAATGCAAGAGGAATATAAACTTCGAAAGAACACGCACTTGCTCTAGTGTAGGGCGTAATCTGTTGTCACAAGACACATATTTACATGTAGTACATTAGGTTTTGTCTGCCACAGAAGCAGAGGTAGGCCAATATCAGCCTTGGCACAATTATAGCAGATAACAAAAGAAATGGGGTGCAGGGGTGGGGGAGGGAAGCTGGTTGGCCGCTAGCAGCTGGGGTTTTCAAAATAATCATCGCACGCCCCTGTTAACAACCGATGTTAAAAAACGCAATTTATACATCTTTTCTCATCAGTTATACGTTTCAATTCCACTGATATCTGAATCGTTGGGACATATTCTTAGGCGTACATGGTGTAACTAAGTAACAAGATCGCGTTTTATTATAGTTCTGGTGAGATATACATTGAATGAGTTATAATTATAAGAACTTCGCAAAGCTTAATTCCTTAAATATATTTAAGATCTTTTGTTATTCCTTTTCATTAGTTGAATAACGATATTAATTTATATTAAAGAATTTTGCTCGCAATACTGGTGGTAATAATTATCTACTTCTTACTTTCCTCCTAAACAATAATATACTACGGCTGTACTATATTATACTACAGTTATTTTTTTAGGAGGAAAAGTAAGAAGTTGAAGATAAATATTACCACCAGTATTGCGAGAAAATACTTTACTATAAATTAATATCGTAATTTTACTAATAAAAACGAATGATAAAATTTCTTAAAACACTTTTAACACTAGAACCCCCAGAGGCGTCATTTCGACTTCTGGGAATCTTTATGTCTTTGTAACTTCTTTGTTTTTGGTGATATGATTTTGTAATTTTTTGACTTTTCATCATTTTTATTTATTTACAGTATGTTAAAAATTGAAATGTTTCTCTACTATACATAGTACAGGCAAGGAAGGTATTCAATTTACCTTAACAATACGATCTCAAGTGTTCATTTGTAAAATCCATGTTTAAAAGTTGTTTTGTGCTGTAACACACCACACACGTCAGGATTAAGGTCTATTAGTGATGATGCAAAGATGGTTAAGATTATTGCATTTGGAAAGACGACAAACGCAATGTTGTACTCGAAAATCGGGATGTCGGGATGGTTGGATGGATTGGTGAATACATGTGACACGCGTAGTTCTGTAAAATTAGAACCTTTTGAGATGAAACTAAATAAATACATCAATAATGAGATCTAGTTTTGCCATTCCAGAGATCATTAGGTATTATTTTTTAGGTACTTCACATAAAGGTCGGATGACATTTGGAAAAGTTCTGCAAGATTGCTAAAAATGTTTTTCTTTAAAATTTGTACCCATTATAATAAAGAGCAATTATACATATATAATAGTTCAATTTTCATTAAATCCTCTGACATTTAGAAAATTCCAAAAATCTTTTCATTTACATTTAATTGTTTTCGTTTAGAAAGAAGTGTTTATTATTGTACTCAATCGAATTTCGTGATTTTTTTTTATGAAAAGTAGTGGACTCTTGATGGTGTTTTCAAACTATCTTTTTAACATATTTTAAGGAATAAACGATACATTTCAATAATATCTTGAAATTAATACAATTAAAGCTTCTCTGCAGTCACTTCTTCATTATTTCATTGTGTAAGTTGTCATGGATCTATTGAAAGCATTCGGCAGTTCCTCTAAGTAAAAACATGTCAGTGAGAATTTATTGTTAGCAAAAACTAAATAGAGAGCTTTCGAAGGGTGTTTTTAAAAACAAGGATTAATGAATGTGTATGAACCCAATGTCCAGTCTGACACATGTGTCCTTTCACAAAAAATATCAGTAATTATTATTATACGTGTTGCATTACATATTTAAATGAAGGTGGACAGCAGAATGTCTTCGTTATAGTTCCCTATAGCATTCATGTACAGACCTTGGTATATATAAAACATATGAATATCAATTTTTGACACATATTCAATTCAGTGTTTATACTGAATAGTGACTGCGTTGTTCCAGAATATGTTAATCACCCTCATGTCATTAATCTTTGAGAAAATACTAAACGACATGAATGATTTTTTTGTCATTTAGGTTTTCGATAATCCCTATAGTGAATATGTGGAATTTATAATATTTTCTGATATTTCTAAGGCTCTTCCTGGGGTTCGACGTGATCGCAAGGGTTCAGCTAGTTCAAATTTATTCTCGGAAGCAGCGCATTCCCACGTGTTGTATATGCGTGAGAACACGCCCGCCCCACTAGGGAGGGTGAGCGGTGACTGGTGAGCGGTGGTGCTGTGTCCGCAGAGGAGTTCGTGCTGGAGAGCATCCCGTCGGCGCTGCCGGCCGGGCCGCCGGGCGCGCCGCTCGACCTGACGCTGGCGGCGCCGGCGGCGCGCCTGGGCCACCTGCACCACGTGTACATTGCGGCGGGCACGCTCGCCTGCGCCATCGTCATCGTGGCGCTGACGGTGGCCGCGTGCCACTGCCGCGTGCACGAGACCTACAAGCGCTGCCTGCTGGGCGCGCCGGGCGCCGGCCTGGGCCTGGGGCTGCTGGGCGGCAAGACGCGGGGCGGCGGCGGCGGCGCCGGCCACGGCGGCGGCCACGGCGGCGGCGCGGCCACGGGCGGCAGCGCCGACGACCTGCGCTGCTCGAGGCCCAGCCACACGCTGCCGCCGCACAGGTCAGTCCTCTTCCTCATCTATTCCCCTTTTTTCCTTTCGTCACTCTCCTCCTTCATTCTCCTTCTCATCCCCTCCTAGTTGTCCTCGTCCTTTTTTCCTTCTTTTCACTCTCCTCCTTCATTTTCCTTCTCATCCCCTCCTTATTCTCCTCGTTCTCTTTTTTACTTCTCTTCACTCTCCTTCATTCTTCTTCTCATCCCCTCCTTGTTCTCCTCGTCCTCTTTTTTCCTTCTTTTCACTCACCTCCTTCATTCTCCTTCTTATCCCCTCCTTGTTCTCCTCGTCCTTTTTTTCCTTCTTTTCACTCTCATCCTTCTCATCCTCCTTTTTTTGCCTTTCTCAACCTCACCCATTTACTCATTTGCATCGTATTCTTCCTTTCTCGTTCTTTTCTCATTCTCCCTCCGCCTATTCTTCTAATAGCTCTCCTTATCTCCTTTCATTGTACTTTCTCGGCCTTACGAAGGTACTTCGTAAGAAGAGAAAGTTACTTAATCGTGCGCCGGAAAACGGCGAATTTTCGGCTGAAAAAAATCTTATTACCGTGCCCTGGTATCGAAAAAGTGGTTAAATCTATTAGCTAAATATAGGAAAAAAGTTCCTCTATCACGTGGTGTAGTCTGAGTCCTTTTGTAGTAGGTCCAAAATCAAATGACGGCAAAAGTCTACGTCTGTTCTATCGTTCATCTGTGGTCCATGCTAGCGCCTCAACCGTTCAGCCAATTTTCTCCAAAACTGATTTTCCCCGATCGACCTGAATGAACTCGTGTCTTTGGAAGTTTGAAACGAAAATTTTTATTTTTATTTCCGATAATACTTTACATGAAGCGAGCATTTACGTTTTTAAACGTCGGTCCGCGTTGAGTCCCTATGGCTCTTCTGAGACGTAATGGTATGAGGGTTAACTGTGAGGTCAGGTCTCTGAGAGGATTCTTTTTTCTGGATGAAAACACTTTTGTAGGTTTATGTAGTAGTATAATTTAACAGAGCAGTTAGAAATAATGCCAGAAAGATAGTGCTTTCGTAGCACCACTAGTTTATTTTTAAGTCGCAATGTAAGCTTAACGTAACTGTTAGAATATAAACATGTTAATTTAACTAGAACGTACAAATACATTCACAACTTTTTCTTCATTATTCATCAATCTTCATCAACTTCATATTTTGCGTCTGGCTAGTCAATGTCATGATTTTGTGCTTTCTTTCAAAGTCATCCACCACTTGCTTTATGTTGCTGTTATGAACTTGTTTTGTTTTTTATTTCAACGCTTCTCGTTTGCTTACATTTCAAGTATGGGTTTTTGTTCATTTCTCGTATGCTATACAGATGAGATATCAAGGTCAGATGCCGTGAAGCAGAAATAGCGTGTCCAAGAGTTTATCTCGGTGAATTTACAGTTAGCGCTTATTTTCTCTTGTCATGTGCGTGAAGTTTCATATCATTTGTCATCAACTATATATAACTGGCGAGTGTTCCAACGCGTATGTGCATTTGAACTACAGTATTTATTTTTGTGAGGATAAACACGTACATGTATTATTTTACGAGAAGTGAACTTTCTCATCACGCAGTGAATTACAAAACGCACCGAGCGTTAGCAAGCTCTGCAGCCACCATAGCTTATTAGAATTCTCGATGGCGTCGGGAGCGTGGGAGGGGCGCTATTCTCATTTAATGGCATCGCCGTACCCTTCTCGTGACATGCTCTGGGCAAGCACACATGCAGACAGTTGGAGGGCGCACTCCTATATTTTCAGATTCTTTCCCATTATATTTTCAAACAGATAGTCCATTACATTACAAACCCTACAATATCTTTGAATGATTCTCTGTATTATTTCCTCATAATGAAAACAACGTTAACTAATTTATGTCATCGTACAGAACAGAATTAATTTTGATTCTTAACTGTAAGAATGCACCTCTGAGTAACGAAAAACATATTGCATTCAGTAACTCAGATCCCCAATGGTATTGTTTCATTCCACAAACCCATATTCTAAATAGTTTGTTTAAAATCCAATTCCACAATCAAACTCATTTATAAAGATACATTTGTAAAAGATGTCTGGAGACTAAATTGTTCTTTCAAAGAGACTGCCTCGGAGGAATAAGATTAATTTCCGCGATAAGAACATTTTCCAAATAAGTTTTGATTCATTTTAACCGCGTCTTGCACTGGTGGCGCCACGCAGCGCTCTTTGCGGGAGCTCCGCTTACATATTATCTCAATCTAGACGAAGGGGAATATTGCAGCATCTGCCGAGCCTCCCTCTGGGCAGTATAGAATGTCTCTTAACGGGGAACTTCTCCAGTTTCCGATCCGAGATCGTTAGACACTCCTCGGGCTCCCTGCCCTGCACGCATTTGCCACTGTTTCTCATCCATACCTCATTTATTTCCTCCGCTCCAGTAGGCCGGGCCGTCTCGTCCCGTCCCCTCGCTTCTCGTACATCGCTGTAATGGCCGCCCGGGGGCTTTTTGGGGCGGCTCGGCGATCGGGTCCCAAGTGGAACATTCGCCAGCTACTCGGGGAGATCTTCGGCTGAGTTACGGGCCGCGTTGGATATCCTTCAAGATAGAGAAATTCTGAGGCCGTGAGCTCGGCAAACGCGAAAATAATGCTTCGGAAAAATGGAACATAAAAATCGCCCATATGTGGACTTCTACTCCGATTACGACGAATATTATTAGCCATACTTTCCATACCATTTAAACCATTTAGCGTATTATCTAAAATTGCTTGTGCAATAAAATTTTTCAACGCGCCTGGTTAAGTGGCTTTCTATATTGTATAACAATTCTAAGTGATTTCTGTTGCTATTAAGGTCTGTTGCCTTAAGATGCGAATATCCAACGCAGTGCGTTTTAGCTCGACTACTATTTTTCAAACGATTTTTTTTCATAAACACAGTTCTTTTCAAAAATTTGTTAATACGCAATGCAGCCATAATAACATCTTGAGTACATCATCACAATCGAATTACTATAAAATTGAGAATTCTCCTCGTCTTTCCTCCCGCTCCGGCCCTGCCTCTCAGAATCCTCGCACCGCTAATATTAAATAGCAAATAGAAGGGCGGGTATCCCGTCATCCGCACCATGCTCCGACACTTCACTCCTAGACAACCTGAGCATATAGTGTTTTCACCAAAATGTCCTTATATACGTATATTACGTTCACTCTTTTCTCTCCCTCGTATAAATTCCTGCTTGGTAACAATAATGTATACTAACCGTAGTATAACATCTTCCCAAGTAAGAAATTCAACGGATTTTCTCCTTTTCTGCATATTTGCCATATTATTTCCCATATCTTATTGATCTCTCTCTCTATCTATCTATCTCTCTTTCTCTCTATCTCTCTTTCTATCTCTTTTATAGTATTTATTATATGATATATATATATATATATATACTATATACACTACACACCATTGAGTACAGCTGGCGCTCCTCACCTCTCTGGAGACGTGGCCCCATAAAACAAGTCTCGGTCGTCACTCTTCCAGCAACATGCGACAACAAAAATCCTTGACGAGCTTTATTCCTCACACTTGCTTTCTGCCTTCCTCACCTTGCCTTCCTTGAAGCTTCCTCCCTCAGAGCCCTTTCTTTAAGTCCCATCCCGCGCGAGTCCAGAGGCCCTAGCGGCGCCGGCGGCGTCCTCCCTCCCTCGCCGGCCTCTCACGCCCCCTCGCGGCCTCGCCCGCCCTCGCAGCACCGTCCTCTCGGCGCTCGAGTGTTCCGCCTGGAGTGGATCAGCGATGGAACTGAAAGCAGGCGCGCTTACGGCGTAACGAACCCGCGAGCTGCGAGCTATCCGTTACCCACCACATGAGGCACAAAGGGAAATGTGTACCTCTCTCGCTGCGCTACACAATGTTCCCATTACGCTTTGAGGAAGAACATGTGACGTGCATCTCTAAAATGATCCTTCGTGAGAGAATAAGGAACGCAATTTCGTTCAGTAGTCCATACAACGAGTAAATGGCCTTTGAAATATTACTTCCTTATTTTTTTGAACCCAATATTACGTTAACTTTGCCATTTAACGTGCCCTCAGACGTATTAACATTCACCTAAACAAGTTTATTACCTGCATTGAAACACGTGAATTCTTATTCCTTCTTAAGTGCGTTAATGCGGCAGACTTCAAAAATATATTTTATCATCTCATTTTTATATACTTTTTTCCGTAGGGCGTAGCTTTCATTTGTTTAATTTAAGGATCATAAATCTAGCAGCCAAAACCGAAGATAAAAATAATTTATTGTGTTTTATTTTATTATTCTTTGTATGAATATTAACATATCACTTCCTTCCATTTGATTCCAAGTATCACACGTTAATTTAATGGAAGTAGTCGTTCAGCGAAAGTTAGTTAAAGTTCAGCGAAATGATCACGCACCGGAAACACACGCCCCACATTCCTATTTTACAGCTGCATCTCGTAGTTTACCACGAAGCGCAGAACCCACGTCGCATTTAATTTCGCAGCATTTGCAAACAATACAGGTTAAGTACTGCTTTGCAAAAATTATCGCCTTCGCCCTCGCGGTGATTAGTAACCCTTGTTCACCACAGTACAATACACGCTGCCTACTTCCACGCCCATAAATTCTTAATGAAGCGAGAAAGCTAAGCGGTATCCCGATGCCAAAGTAAACGCGCTAGGTATTTGCCGACGCTAATTAATTCAATCACAAGCGTCATTAGCTCCAAACATCGATAATCAATGTGGATATTTGCTTTGGATATTTGTTTCAACCGCATACTCACTTTCGCCGTCTATTTTGCTTGTTATTGAGCCATTCGGAAACGCATCGTTTCTGTTGTGCTATTAGCTCTAACAATATACCCCAACCAACATAAATAATACATTCCCGTCAAATAATGTGTACGAAGGCCATCTCAAAAGTAAGTTACATTATTTAAATACAAAAACACATTTTGAAAAATTGAAGTGGGTATATTTTGAAAATGACATACACTAGC